GGTTAAGTCCCAGTGAAGAAGGTCCAAGTCCCGTGTAAAGCACAAAGGAACATGACAAACAGTGCCTTCACCGGCGCAGCATGACAGCTGGTAGAAAAGCACCATGAAAACATCTTAATGGAAGACATTCTTAAACAATCTTAAAAGAAGAGCATCCTTTAAGAGTAGATTTGCATTGATTTTGATAAAAGTTCCTGACGAAGCTATTTTCAACAGCCTTGTTTCTGGCAGTTCTTAATCTATTTCAGAACTTCAACACTGCATATATTTTAAAGGTTTTTATTCTATATGCATCATTACTACTTTGTCCTAATGTGACATGAGAAATGAAATATTTTATTATTTTTTAGATCATTAAGATGAATTGCTACTTACTATGGAATGACATGCTTTTCTAGATGAAAATGTTTTTAGGTGTTGTAATGACACCATCAAACTTTCATTACATTACAAACAAGGGACTTTTTGTTCTGGAGAAGATAACATATTTCAGTTCATATAAGTAGCAGTTGTTCTTAGTGACTTTAAAAAAGATAATCACTGTATTCTCTTATCTAATATACATACTGTCACCTGCTACTACTCTTTACTTAGCAAATCAGCAGTAAGCCTAAGTACAAAAAAATTACAGTGGACACAGTTCAAAAAACCCCAGAGGAAAACATTTCTAAAATCAGAATCTGGGACACCGTGGCCTCATAGGAGATGCAAAAATAAACTATTTCATTCTGATTAGAAAACAAACAAGCTTTACAGTGTCAGAAGTTCCCAGGAAATGGCAATTCTGAGTTAAGCTTAATGTGTGTTAATTCTGAGAAGCGCAAGCAGGATTTTGTTCTAGGGACAAAGTCCAAGAGGATCAGGACAGAGGGAATTCTGCAGAGACCCAGAGCACAAACATCAAGGTTACTGGAAGTCAAGCAAAGCTGGGTGTGAGAACGCTCTAGTGCTGAAACACTCAAGCAGAGCTTTGGTAGAAGAGGGCGGCACTGCCAGATTAGAAGAACTCTCACTTGGCTAACTAGCTCCATTGCTGAAGCAGATTTTCTTTCATTCCCCTGTCCCTCCTGTGCTGTACCCAGCTTTGCTGTTCTGCCCACTGCCTCCAGAAAAGTGGCAGCTGTGATCTGGAGAGAGAGGAACGTCATGTCTGTGGCTGGGAGCTATATTGGTCTCTGAGAAGGATGCTTTAGGATCTAATGGCAAGTGTCCCCACACTTTTCTTCAGAGTTGAGGTACCTCCTACAGGGGTGCTCAGGAATGTGCACACCTTCAACTGTAGGATGGTGTCCCCCAGTCAGGTCTTGTTTTTCCTGACTGCCTGAGCAGAGGAGGATGCTAGGAAATGTCATCTTAGAGTCTTATCTTTGCAAAGACTGGGGATTTCAAGCAGTTATTTTGCAATCAGAACAACAAAAATGGACTACAGGGCATTCGTCTGGACAAGTTCATCTTTTCATTTTTGTGCTCATGACTCACCTCTTACCCTGGCCTCAATCCTGGCCCTACTCAGTAACAAAGGAAAACACTTATTATCCAGATTTTACACTTTATGAAGGCCACCCTGTTCAAAGACAAAGTTCTCACAAAGAATGCATGTCCCCTTTTTTCCACATAAGTAATGACGGATGGGAAAGCCAAAATAAATGAATAACCAACTACTTCCATACTCATGGCTTTAATGTTGATTAATAGGGCATACAATCAATCCTTGAAGCAGAACAGATGATATTATTTGCTTGGCTTATGGCACGTACTGTGCAGTTTATTGCAAAACAGGATCTGCTTCAACTGGGTGTGTGTTTGCATGCTGCTGAAGCTGAAGAAGAATTTGCTAGAAAAAGGGCTACTGTCTGCTGACACAAACAAGACAAAAAATTCGCTACCTGGAAGTTAAATTACAAAAACTACTTGCAGCCTGAGTGCCCCCTGCCCATATACATTAAATGAAGAGGCCTTGTTTGAGCAAAGTAAGATCTTAATCTGCTATTTTTCAGCCAAGAAAGCACAAGTCCTGATAGCTGCTAGCAGCATGCATCCCACCCCAGCAAGCCCCATCAGGAGTAAAATCACAGCAAGGAGAACACAAGGCAAAACTGCTTTACAGAGCAGAATTTTTCTGTGACAAACTTACTCCAAATTATCTAGAATAGAAAGAAACTTATCCACACAAGCTGATGACAGTCGCAGGGGGAGGGTTGCACAACAAGATACTGGCACAGAAAAAAAAGGCCCGAAAGTTTACAGAGAGATGGAGCAGACTGTGACAAAGGCTTCTAAGCCCTATGGTAATACAAGCACACCACAAAGGAAAAAGGCTCAGGACAGTGACTCAGGACAGAGGCTCAGAGGAGGAGTCCAGAGAAAAAGCAAGCTCAAAGTCAAAAGGCATAGTGAGAAGGTCACTCCTAGCTGAGTGGCAGAGCAGTGTGGAAAAGGAGGAAAGATTTATCAGCTTAATAGCCTCCAGTTCCTGGAAAGCCTTAAATCAATGACTTGTTTCACAGAATACAAACACTACATATCACTAGGTGGGCCAACTTCTGCTCAGCTGGAGTGAGCGGGATGACTCCACGGAGGTCAACAGAGTTGCAATTGCTTACTCTGTATTTGGAGCTGCAACATCAAAGCACTATGCAAACCTAAATAATTAATCATAAGCCAAACACCAGGCAGGAAATTTTGTAACAATCCAAGCAGTTGTGCTCATGTTCTAGAGAGTCTTGGACAAATATTTCAGGCAAACAGTGAGGATTTCAACAGCAGAAGCCACTCGTCTACCAGCATTGCCTGGTACTGCTGCTCTTGAAGGAGAAACTCAGCGGCCAGGTGAGGACTCCACTGCAGTAGGCACTATGCTATCAACCTGAAAATAGTGCGCCCCAGAGTGAATCACAGAATCACAGAATCGTTTAGGTTGGAAGGGACCTCTGGAGATCATCTAGTCCAACCCCCCTGCTCAAGCAGGGTCACCTAGAGCATATTGCCCAGGATCGCATCCAGGCGGGTTTTGAATCTCTCTCCAGGGAAGGAGACTCCACAAGCTCTCTGGGCAACCTGTTCCAGTGCTCTGTCACCCTCACAGTCAAGAAGTTTTTCCTCAGGTTCAGACGGAACTTCCTGTGGTTCAGGTTATGCTCATTGCCTCCTTTCCTATCGCTGGGCTCCACTCTTGTTCTGTCGCTGGGCGCCACGGAGAGGAGTCGGGCCCCAGCCCCTTGACACCCTCCCTTCACATACTTGTACACACTGATGAGATCGCCTCTCAGTCTTCTCTTCTCCAGGCTCAACAGGCCCAGCTCTCGCAGCCTTATGACAGATGCTCCAGTCCCCTCATCCTCTTTGCAGCCCTCCGCCGGACTCTCTCCAGGAGTGCCATGTCTCTCTTGTACTGGGGAGCCCAGAACTGGACATAGCACTCCAGATGAGGCCTCCCCAGGGCTGAGGAGAGGGGCAGGATCACCTCCCTCCACCTGCCCACAACACTCTGCCTCATGCACCCCAGGAGACCATTGGCCTTCTTGGCCACAAGGGCACACTGCTGGCTCATGCTT